AAGCCGTGTTCTCCTCAGCTGTGTGTGTTCAGCAGAGATATGGTTTTGATAACTCGTGCAGTTCAGTTTTGAGATGCAGTATTTGCCTGTTTTTGGGTGGAGCATCTCCATCCTCCGGCAGATGTGAAGCTCAGACTCATGAAACTTACTTTTACTCGGTATTTTACTCTTGTTTTCCAGTACAAATATCTAAACATTCCTAAATCAAGACGTGTTTACTTGAAAAGCAAAAAATGCCTGAAGATATTAAGTCTTGCTAACTGAAAAATGCACGAGTTTGCATGTGCTTAAAATAAACGGGGTCTGAAAAATCATCTTAATTCAAAGAAAAACAAGATTTATTTTGATTATCCTAAGGGCATGTATTTGTTCTTGCTTTACAATTAAACTAATTTCATTTTTTAAGGATTTTTCAGGATTTTTTTGTTTTGCTTGATTTAAGAATGTTTAGATATTTGCACTGGAAAACAATAGAAAAATACTTAAATTGTTGCTATTGTATAGTTTATCCCTTAATTATTATTTTTTTGCATTATTGAATATGGAATAACATTAATCAGCTTTATGTCACTCTCAATCCAATATGCCTGAAAATATGAAGTCTCGCTAAATGAAAAATGGATCAGTTTGCATGTGCTTATAAATGTGGTCAGAAAAATAATAGTGAAAATTTATGTTTCTGACCCATATTGGCATGTATTTATTCTTTATTTAAGTTTAAACTAACTCCATTTTAATGCATTTTTCAGAAAACAAGATTAAATTTAAGTAATTTTGCTGCTTAAAATGTTTTTTTTTTGCACTGGAAAACAATAGAAAACACTGAGAAAGACTTCTACTAATCCTAATTCTTTTGCATTGTAGAATATGAATTAGCTTATGTCACTCTCAGGGTTTAACATTTGCCAGAAGCTGTGTGTTTCTGAATATGACAGATGATTATTGCTCAGACGTGACGTGACGGGAGCAGTTTAAAGCCACAAATTCCCCCAGTGTTAAATGACAGAGCAGTTTTAGTGCACCTGTGTGTGTGTCCGCGCTCCTCGTGTTATGACTGTCCTCTGGGACTTTATTACTCAGCAACACACACTCAATAACAGCGCGGTTATCTGCTCCTTTTGGGCACACACATTAATAGAAACGTTCATGCAATGTCTAATAATCCACACGTTTATATCCAATCAGACATCATTAGCACTCATGAACAAGCTGTTATGAATATATCAGGTCTAAAGGTGTTCACACTCTTGATAATGCCGGAATGACATCGCATTATTAAATGCATTGATGTTAAATATCAAAACAAGTGCATTTGTTGCACTAAAGAAGATGCAAAACACACTTTACAAACAATAAGAGACGTTGCTACAGTTTGAAATGATACTTGGTCTAACTAATGATATCCACACATTTATACGCTTGACTCATTTCAATTAACAGCATGTACTTGAAATGTTATTATTTTGTTGCTTTAAAATATAATTATAGTTATTATATGGGAATCCACTGATCAACAAGTTCTACAAGAAACTCGATTCAACTCAGAAATTCATATCTTGGATAGTATATACAAGCATTATTCGTGGAAATATAATTATCAGCTTAGACTGTATTTTTAATTGAATTTCATTTAATTTTTATTTAATTTATTTTTAGTTTAATTACATTTTTAATTTAATTGAATTTTATGCTGTTATATTATTTTTTTATTTAATTTAATTTAAAATAAAAATTTGTTGTTATTAATTTAATTTTAAATAAAATAGTATTTAATGTTGTTATTTTGTTATGTTATGCTGTTATTATTTTATTTTATTTAATACAATTTAATTACATTTTATGATGTTATCTTATACATTAATTTAATTTAATGTTATAATTTATTTATTTATTTATTTATTCATTTTCCCCCATTTTATCTTATCTTATCATATCTTATTTAATTTAATTTTATCTTGTTTAATTTTATTACATTTTTTAATTCTTGACTCAAAATGCAAACATTTTCCCAGAAATCTGTTGTGTTTTGTGGTTTTGATGGCCGGATATTCAAATGAATCCCGTCGTCTGCAAGCGAAGCACCTGTTAACTCGTCTTAACTCTTAACTCTAAACTTGTCTTAACTCGTCTTAACTCTTAACTCTAAACTTGTCTTAACTCGTCTTAACTCTAAACTCGTCTTAACTCTAAACTCGTCTTAACTCATAACTCTTAACTCTAAACTCTAAACTCTTAACTCTAAACTCTAAACTCTTAACTCTAAACTCTAAACTCTAAACTCTTAACTCTAAACTCTAAACTCTAAACTCTTAACTCTTAACTCTAAACTTGTCTTAACTCGTCTTAACTCTTAACTCTAAACTTGTCTTAACTCGTCTTAACTCTTAACTCTAAACTTGTCTTAACTCGTCTTAACTCTTAACTCTAAACTTGTCTTAACTCGTCTTAACTCTAAACTCGTCTTAACTCTAAACTCTAAACTCGTCTTAACTCATAACTCTTAACTCTAAACTCTAAACTCTTAACTCTAAACTCTAAACTCTAAACTCTTAACTCTAAACTCTAAACTCGTCTTAACTCATAACTCTTACCTCGTCTGTTCAGCACACACTCTTACAAAACTGTTAAGTCATGAAATTAAAGTCATTATGTGAGTCTCACATCATGTTTCACTGTTCATCTGTTTTCTATTTTGATTTGAGCTTGAAATGTTTCCATAAGGGTCATCTATAAAATGCATCTTTTCACAGACATGAAGAAAAAACTGAAGGATGGAATGAAATAATGGTGCAAAAATAAAAAAAAATACCCTGAAATTTTATAATGGTTTGTAAAATATTTGCATTATGATTTGAAAAGTGCTTTTCCGCCAAAGAAATGTAAAAATAACCCGTTACTCATACGAGTAGATTGACCTGAAGGAACACACAGTCAACTATGAATATGAGTGAGAGACGCTTTACCGTACCGTATTTAACACTGTTTATGTTTAACAATATTTACAGAATCAATTTCGTTTGTTTCAACTTCATGCAGCTCCTGAGAAATCCTGTCTCGTTAAATCATAAACATGTTGCATATGATGAGACCTGGTTTATTTACACACACTTAAACACACACTTTGATTTTAAGTGAAGCACAGAACACTGGATTTCCATAAAGTTCGATCAAGTAAAGCTCACGCACTGGGAAAACACTTCATTTAAATTACATTCAACTATTTTTTTCTCTATTTGATTCATTTTAAGTATTAAAAGCAACATCTATTTTGCTTTTCTCTTCCATATTGGATTTGTACTTGGATTGAAATCTTTGTATATGATGCCTTAATGCTTCTTATGCCTTTTATTTCTTATATTTTAGCCTTATATTTCTTTTTTTTTATTTGCAGAGGCTTTTATTTCTTCTATTGAATGCATGTCTGGCATCAGTCTTGTTCATGGGAAACCGAGAGATGTCGTCGTCGCCGGTGAGAAAGATGAAAGTTCTGAGAGATTGTAGCCGTACAGATATGATGAATATCAGAAACATCCTTCAGAAAACATGACCAGCGTATGATCATAAAAACAGACAATAATACAAACAACACACAGTACAGCCCTTCACCTGTACATGCACACACACATAGAAACACATGAGCGCTTACACTCATACACACTCACATGCACGCACACACACACACACACGTACTCACACACTCACACAAACACACTCACACACAGACACACACTCTCTCACTCACACACTAACATGCACGCACACACACACACACACATACACACACTGTCTTACACACGCACTCGCGCACACACACGCACTCACACACACACACACTCTCACTCGCACACACACACACTCACACACGTATACTCACACAAACACTCGCACAAACACACTCACTCTCTCACTCACACACACTCTCTCACACTCACACACTAACATGCACGCACACACACACATACACACACACTCTCAGACGCACTCACACACACACACACTCTCATACGCACTCTCTCTCACACACACACTCTCACACTCTCACACGCACTCACACACATACACACACTCTCACACTCTCTCACACACACACACACACTCTCACACTCTCACACGCACTCACACACATACACACACTCTCGCACGCACGCACTCACACACATACACACACTCTCGCACGCACTCACACATGCACTCACACACACACACTCTCTCGCACGCACTCTCTCACACGCACTCACACACCCATGAGAACGCCTTTGTTTCGATTGATGTTGTGACACTATATGAAACTGGTATGGTTGGCTAAAATGTGTATTTAAGAACATATATATTTTTTTCATTTCACATCTGAAGCCCTGCAGGAAACGGTGTTTGTCGTTTACCAGCAGCCTTTAGGACCGAAACCTCATGTTGCACCAGAAATTTGAAAAATATAATATAAAATATCAGTTTAATTAATTAAATCCAATTTTTTATAAAAAATAAATAAATGGGTAAATCCATTACTTTTAAACAGAGCCTAAAACTATTTTTTTTTTTTTTTGCCACATCTGCCAATATATATATAGCCTAAAAACAGGGGCGAAAATTTCATCAAAATGTTGAGGGGGACAATAAACATAACAATTCTCAAGAGCAATTTTTGAAGGGGACACCAATAATACAGGCAAAATTGTACTTGCAAGGATATGTGTACACCGAGGAAAGCCTTACTACTATTATTAGTGTAGCATGGAGACCGTTCCATTATCCTTCTTCTCAAAGTTTCTTTCTGGTTTAATGAAAAAGCTGACTAAATTGACCAAAAAAATTCTTCAAAACCATAAAAATTTTTTGTAAATAAGTTGTTTTGTGTAACAGTAACGTTCACCAGGCAGTAATACTGCACGTTCAGTTCACGTTCGCCCAAAATATGAACGAGTTCATGAACTATCGTTCAATGAACGCGTTCAGGCACAACACTAATTAAATGATATAAACCGACTAAATCACAGTGAAAGCGTTAAAATCTAAATGCGCACCGGACTATAGTCTAATCTACAAGACTAACGTTACATCACGTATGTGCGTACACTCTATGGGTGTGTGTGTGGGTGGGGGTGGGGGTGGGGGGGGGGGGATAT